AAAAAAAAAACTACGATTAGAGGTCCCATTTGACCCAGCTATTCCCCTGCAGGGTATCTTTCCAAAAGAATTAAAAGCATCACACCACAGCGATATATGCACACCCATGTTCACAGTGGCAGCTTGTAATAGCTAAAACTTGGTTTTTTGTTTTTGGTACTGGGGACCGAACTTGGGTCCTTGTGCTTGTGAGGCAGGCGCCGGAACCACTGAGCCAAATCCCCAGCCCATAATAGCTAAAACTTGGAAACAACCCAATTGCCCACCAACTGGAGACTGGATAAAGAAGATGTGGGGTTCCCCCCAAAAATGGAGTACTACTCAGCCATGAAGAACAAGAAACTAGAGATATTTATAGCTAAATGGATGCACACTGAGGACATACTTTTTTTTTTTGGTACTGGGGATCAAACTCGGGACCTTGTACTTCCAAGGCAGGTGGTGGCACCACTCAGCTAAATCCCCAGCCCAGAGGCCATACTCTTAAGTGAAATAAATAGGACACAAAATGTATAAATACTGAATAGTTTCTCTGGTGTGAAAAACTGAGAGTGTAAATAAGGATAAAGATGTATAATAGATAAAGTGAAATAGGAAGAAAAGGTACACAGGGGAAGGGGAGGGAAAGTGCTGGGGGATGGGAACAGAAACAAACTCTTTGCATTGTTTTGTTTTGTTTCTGGTACTGGGGACTGAACTTGGATCCTTGCACTTGAGAGGCAGGGGCCCGGACCAGAGCTAAATCCCCAGCCCACAAACTCTTTGTAAATAGTGAAGGGTGGAGGGGTTGAAGGGAAGGCAGGAGAATGGGGAAAAAGAAAGAACCAAGCTACATCATGTAAAAGTACAAATTCCCAATGATGAGTGTCATCATATTGTATACCTAAAATGTACCAGTAAACAATGGAAAAAGAAAGAGGACGAACTTGAGACCATAACTGTACGTGAGGGCAGGGCTGTGGCCACAGGGCCTGGGAGGGGACCAAAGTAACACTGACTGGGCACAGGTCTCCATGTGGAGTGAGGAATCAGAGCTGACAGCTGTGGGGCACAGTGAATGTGCTCAGTTCCACTTTTAAGATGGAAAATCTATGCATTTCCAAGACAGAAAACCACATGCTAAGATGTATTTTACCACAATCTAAACATACAGTATAGTAAAGCTCCAGCATCTTTCCCCTGTAAACCAAGAAGTGAAAGACAACGAGGACGTGTCATGACAGGAGCCAGACTGGGAACTCTGGGAGCACCAGCCAGTGGACAATGCAAGAACCCAGGAGTCCATGGTGACGAGACAGAGAGGGCCAGGTGAGAAAACAAACAGGGTTGAGTAGAGGGCTCTTCCATGGGGCAGAACTGAAAAACCAATCCCCCTCTTCCAGGTGACCCTGGACGCACACAGGGACATCAGCTGACGGATGAGAATGAGCTGTGGACACTGTGTGGCTCTATCAGCCCACAAATCGCCTCATCATACGGAGAGGGAAGACGCAGGGAGAGTAGGGCTAAGATTCTGCTTCCTGTCATTAGGAGCGCCTGTGTCCCACTGTAACCAACCAGACCTCCAGGAGACAACAACATGGCACCCAGCTCTGTGCTCACGAGGCGTGGCTGGGCACCAGGAACACGCTCCCGATGTTTCTGAGATACAGGACAGATGGGAACAGAGGCATCACATTAGTGAGAGCTCCCTGATCTGACAAGATGCTTCAGTGGGTGTGAGGAGCCAGGCTCAGTCTCCCACTGCGGGTCCCCCATAGTACCCAGGCCCTAAGTACTGTCCCCGACACCTCCACATTACCTGCAGCAGAAACAAAAGCGGGTAACTAGCACCTCACCCCACGATGGCTCTCACGGGAGGTGGGGAAGAGGAGCCACACTCACCTCGGGGGGCAGGTGCACCTCCATGGGCGTGTATGTAGGCCAGTAGCCCATGGTGAGGATGTTCACAGTGAGGTCGATGGGGCCCGGGGCACTCTGGTTCTGCATGTGCTGGGGACAGACAAGGAAACCCAAGACAAAACTTGCAGAAAACTTCCATTTTCAAAACAAAGTTTCAGGCCAGGGATTTAGCTCAGTGGTTTGGTGGCCTGCCTTGCAAGCGCAAGGAGCCGAGTTCGATCCCCGGTACCAAAAAAAAAAAACAAAAAAAACAAGTGTCAGCACTTGTGTTCTTCCAGCCCCCAGGACATGTTCCATGTGGGTCAAATCCCTTGTCAACACATTAATGCTTATGTCACCAATGCGACACACCCCAGGCCCAGGCTGTTTCACCCGAACCTCAACCCACTCCCCACGGCTTTACTTGGGGGTACTGGGGATGGAAACCAGGGCCCCATGCACTCCAGGAGTGGTAGGCAAGTGCTCTATTACTAAGCTACACCCCAAACTTTTCTAATTTTATTTTGAGACCAAGTCTGGGTAAATTGCCCAGGCTGGCCTTCAATTTGCGACCCTCCTGCCTCAGCCTTCTGGGAGTATGGACGGGCGTGTGCCTTGGCCCTGGCTCTGCTCACCTGCTTGAAGTGAACCATGATGTCTTTGGAAAGCTCCATGTCCTTGAACATGCCCTCCAGCTTGCTGGTGAAGGCGGCCCCGCACTCTGCAACACATGAAGGTCAGGTCAGAAGGCAGGGAAGCCCCGGCCCAGGGGCAGGGCCACCCCGTGCTCACCGTGCTTCAGCTTGGACAGCATGGACTTTTCTGCATCGACCGAGGCACTTTTCCCAACAAGGAGTCTTTTTGCCAAATCTTTCTTGTAAAATGCTTCAAATACATCTTTACCTGAGCGGAACGAGAGGGGAACAAGGCAGGCATCAAACACTGGGGAGTCTCTCTGTGGAGCAAGCCGCAGGAGACCCTGCTGGCGTCAGGCCAGATGCTGGGCGCTCACCATGGATGAACCTGAACAGGATCATGATCTTGTCCAGGATCCGCTCCAGCTCCTCGTCAGTTGCTTCCTTGTTGCCTGCTCGTAACTTGGAGTCCACATGCTTGGCTGTGAGAGAGGGCTTTACTTAGAAAGGTGCTGGATGTGGCTCAGGGGCAGAGTCCTCACCCAGCATGCACAGGACCCAGGGTCCATCCCAGCGCTGCCAAAAGGAAAAAACGATCGGAAAAGAAAAGGTCTCTTCCATTTCTGCTGGCAACAACCAGGCTCTTTCTTGAACACTCATGCAGGACAGAGGGCAGAGGCCTGGGGCTCTCAGGTCCTAGGAGAATGAATCCTCCTGAGTTTAACTACACCAAGGAACAGGTGTCCTATCCTAATTCCAGGTTCAACAGGAAACCGATGCCAGCAGCTACGTACAGCACTTGGGTTCTGCCATGTGACACTGCCTAGGAACCAGGATGGCCCTGTCCAAGACTGGGAGCCAGAAGTCCAGAGGTCAGTTTCTCAAAGAGAAAGATTTTTTTCTTAGGGTTCCAAGTTGTTACAGCCACAGCGTCAATGCAGGGACAGGAGCATCTTACTCGGGGCTTCTTGCTCCAAAGTAGGCATGGGCCCATGAGGTGGTGGCTACGTATTCCTGTGTGGTGACGCTGGGAACATTCCTGTAGCAGAGCCCAAGACTTTCCAAAGCCCCAATTCCCAAGAGCTCAACATTCTCTTCCATGGGGAAAATCACAATCAGTAAGTAACGTTGTAGAAAAGCCTAATCAAATGGCTTTGCAGATTTCTTAGTTGCTGCTTTTACTAGCTTTTTGTTTTTTCACTTATTGTGGACTATTCTGAATTTTCAAAAAAGAGGCCAACTGTCTAATGAACTCCAGGCACCACTAAGTCTGTCCTATGTCAACAAGGTGATGGAGGAACGTCTCAGGGGCTGGGTCACCTAGACACCGAGGTCGGCCTCCTGTGCGGAGGTTTCGTCCTCACTGCAATTTCTGAGGACGCACATCCTGCCAGTCAGGATAGGAGCCAGCCCCGACCCTTACAGAAGACAGCTCTGAGCTCAGTCCAGGAGGACAAACTCATCCTGTGCAGCGTACTGAATCCCTGCGGCATCACCCCTCATGGTGTGCAGGTATGCACAAGTGTGTGTGTCTGGATGAGCTTGGTAAAGACCCTGCCCTTGCCCTCCCTGTAAGGAGTCTCAGCATTTGGGTAAAATGCCTGCATGAGTTTTGCCTCACTCTCCCGAACTACTCAAGTGCCCAGGACACCTCTGCGCTACCGATCAGCTCCGCAGGTTTGTTGGGCCTCTTGTTGATGAAAGTCTCAAAGGACTCCTTCATCAGGTGGACGAAGCGCTCGTTCCTCTGGAAGCACACCTCCACCACGTGGTCCACCCTGTCCTTGAACTCTAGCAGGTCCTGGACCATGTCCTTATCTTTCTCAGGATTGATGACAATCGTCGTCCCAAAAGTCTACAAAAGTAAGTTAGTGCCAAGTCAGCAACAGGTTTAGGAACAGCACTCCTCTCACGGCCTCGCACTCCGGCGGCAGCCCTGGCCTTGCTGCTTGGTGCCACAGCACCTTCTGCACTGTGGCCACAGAAAGGTCTGTGTCCCTTCAAAGCAGGAAGTGCCTGGCACTCAGAATCCCAGGTCAGCCCGAGGCATTGCTTCTGCGCACCCAAGAAGTCGTGCATGGCCCTGCACTGGCATGGGACGCAGTGACTGCCTAGATGCAAGGTGACGAACCCAAGTGTGGGCCAAAGACCCCTGGCCGCAGCACAGCGGGACACTCTCCCTACAAAGGCACAGCTGACCAAGCGACAGACTGTGGTTTGAGAGGCCAGAGAGACCACAACTGAGGAGGAAGCTAGGGTTGTATCAACAAGGAACAAAAGTGGCTGCTGTGAGGTCGCATGTCTCCCTGCACGGTTCCATCATGTTGGTTTTACCTCAGAAAGACTTACCTTATTAGGAAGTTACACAGGTGATCTTTGGGCAAAGGGCAGACCTGTCCACAGTCCGTAGGAACAAGGCGGCTCTCACAACAGTGCTACTGTCTTGGACCCCACACCCCCATGTCGCAGGCAGTATGGCGGGGACACTGAGACCTGCAGTACCTTGATGTACTCGCTCCAGTGCAGCAGCAGTGCCTGCTGCCCTCCACGCACCCGGCTGAATAGCTGGTACATCTGTGTGAGGTCGGGCACCCGGTTTTCGTCCAGCAGGTGGTCCAGCCCTGGGAGGGTGCAGAAAGAAGGTCATGGCAGGAAGCTGGCACTGCCGCTGAGCAGCTGCCCCACAGTGGCACCCCAAAGAGCAGCACCAAGGGGAGGCCGATCACCATGCCCCTACCCGGCAGGTTGGTCTCATTAAGTATCTGGATAGGTGCAGAGGTTACCCCCTTTCCTCAGTGCCAGAGTACCATTCAGCTCCTCAGCACCAAAGCCCTCTTAGCTCACAAGAGGGGCAGCAGGAGGCACCGTTTACACTGAGTTTGTCCTAGGAACCTCAGAACCCAAGTTACTTCTGGTTTAGTCTACCAGAAAATGTATTATTATACATAAACTTTCCAGTTTTTAGTTGATTAACTTTACTCAAACTTAATAAACTGAAAAATTACTCATTGTTCATTAAGTATCTTGACGTGTACAACAAGGATTTTAAAGTTTAATTGTTTCGGGTATTTAAATCTTACAAGGACTTCCTGGCACAAGCAGAGCAGCTTGGCTAGTAGCATTTTAAACAGTTTTCTGGTCATTCGCATGGCAGCTAAGCAGAGCGGAAGGCTGTGAGTGCAGCTGGTCCAGCTCCTAGTCCTGGCAGGTGGGAGGGAGCAGAGACCGGGGGCCTGTGACCCTGAACCTCAAGCTGAAGCTCTGATAGCTGACATTTCTCAAGGTCACTTTGGGTCTACTGTGCCAATGCACTTTCCTTTTTTGTGTAGCACTGGAGATGTAAACCTGGGGTAGCTCCATCACTGAGCACCATCCCCAGCTGTTTTCATTTTCAGACATGGTCTGGCTAAGTGATCCTCCTACCTCAGCCTCCTAAGCAGCTGGGACTACAGGCATGTGCCACCAGGTCTGGCAATAAACTTGTTAAGTTTAAAATTTACCTTCCTTAAAAACATAATGCTTTTTAAAATATATACCTTTTATACTTTTAAACATGCTCCTAATAAAATTTAGAGCAAGCTTTTTAGGAATGTAATTATTTTCTTATAATTTTACTCATCAAAATTTATGCAAATTTCTACTATTTACTTAAAGTCTTTTATTTTCTTTGTGGAGTAACTACTGTTCAAAAAAAACCTACCACAGGCTGGGGATTTAGCTCAGTGGTTCCGGTGCCTGCCTTGCAAGCACAAGGACCTGAGTTCAATCCCTGGTACCAAAAAACAAAACAAAACAAAACAAAAAAAACCTACCTGACACAAATGCTGAATGCATTTGTTTTTAGGTACACAGTAAAGTAAGCTCCCACTATACAAAGATACACCAGACGAGGTGTAAACAGATCTGGACCCTGGCTCTTAGCTCATGACACAGGCACTGCTACCAAGCTGTTTTAAGCCCAGTATTCCTATTCGCGAGCTGGGGCTGGGGACCATGAGCCCACAGGGCTATTCCCAAAGGAAGCTCCATGGCAAAGCCCCCTCTCTTCCTTTCGGTGGGAAGGCCTGCCTGTTGGAGTCTCGCTGTCTGGCAGAACAGAGCCTGAGCAGGATGCTGTGGGCACTATGTGGGCCATCCCACAGTGGGTCTTTCTGGTCTGACAGCTGGGCAGGCTGCACATCTAAAATGACTTTCGGAGTCTGGGCTCATCACTAGGTCTAGTAGGTGGGAAAACAGGACAGACGAGCCCAGTGCCGAGTCAGGGTCCATGCACCCCAGTGCACCTGTGCAGCAGGAGGACTGAGCAGCCAGGGCGACTGGCCGGGCTTCGGCAGGAAGTGCCCTCTTACACATCTTCCTCACCGCTCTGAACTCCTCATTGACCGTCAGTGGCTACAACACCCACTAGAGATTCGCAGTGACTCTCTCAGGACAATAATGATTGTGGCCTTAATTCTCCTGATGAGTTTGGGTCGGCATTCAGTTTAATTCACAGATCAGGAAAACCCACCTTTCTGTAGAATTGCTGTCAAGTGTTCTCCTAATAGCTGTTTCTCCACACAAGCAATCAGTGGTTTCCTAAAACGGCAAGAGGGGATAAGCATCAGAAGCAGTGGCAGGACAGAGGGTGCGCACTCTTCCTCCCACCGGCCATCCTGAGGCCTCACTACTGCACCTGCTGAGCCACGCCAACAGCTCTTCAGGTGGATCAGGTCCCTGAAGTAGGCACCGTGTGGGAAGGAACACCCAGAGAACCTTCATGGGCACCGGCCTCAGGCTCACAGTTTATGAGGAGCTCTTCAGTGTGTGTCTCATGGGAGTCACAGAAGCCCAAGAAGACCCAAGGGCCAGTGTCACCCTGCCCAGGATGGGTTGCCTGCAGCTCCCTGGCCACTCTACCTGGCCTCTGTGTCTCCTCCTTCCTCCCTGGGAGGAAACGGGCCCCATTGGAGCCGACTGACATCCCAAGGCCCGCCTGTCCCTGGCTCGCTCAGGCTTAGCTTTCTCTTTGCACTGCTTTGTCAGCCCGTTCCCACCTCCCAACTGCCCCTGCAGCAGGGCGCAAGCTCTGCAGCGTGACCACACAGCCTCTGTTCTTCCGCACTTCAGAGGAGCACCACACACCTGCCCCAGACAGTCTATCTTTCCCTAACTCTTCCCTATGCTCGAATCTAGAAAAGAAAGACGGAAAGCAAAAACTCGCAGCAGCAGTGTAATAATTATAGCCACATGAGATGCCTAACCCAAGTTCATGATTGAAACAGCTGCAGTTGACAACTGGCATGAATGGAGTACCCAGAAGAGAACCGGCAAATGCTGGATGATGACAGACAAAGTACACGAAGTGCACCAGGAGCAAAAGCACTCAGGTGCCATGTGTTTCAATGTCCAGCCACAAGAACGCCTGTTGGTGCTGTTGCCAACTGTGACACTCACTGTGTGCTGTGGTCCAGGTACGTGATGACGCGGTCCCCCTCTTCCTCCAGGCGCTTGCTCACATGGTTAAGGTATTCTGGAACCTTACAAAGAAAGTACCACAACACAAAGACTTTTTGTGACCCAAGAAATGAAGTTTTGTTTCCCTCATAAAATAACAAAACAAAAAACTCCCCACCATGCATGCAAGCCAAGTAAGAACCCACTTCCTAGGCTGGCAGGTTTAGTGGCCCGGAGTTTAACACTTGCCTCTAGATGAGCCCGGGCCCCTCTGCTGTCCTTCAGGGTGCCAGGAGTGACCTGGCACTGGGCTGGGAGCCCACATACAGCAGGCTGGCACAGCTGCCAGTGGGGATGGGGGGTCCAGTCCTGGGGCATCTGACCCCATGGGCAGGCAGGCCACACCCCTTGAGGGCTTCGCTCCAGGCCTGGGAGGCTGGGTAGTGGCAGGGCTGGCATTACTGTTCCATGCACTTTTCCACATGCAGATTTTCCAAAACTTTTTGCATCGATGAAAAATTTAGATGGATTTTATCTTTCATATTCAGAATTTATTCTTTATCTTCTTACTTAAACTTGAAGTCCTTTACTATTTTTCTGGGTTTTTTTGCAGAAGAGCTTCTAACTTAAGGGGGAGAAATGAGATTCTTACTAGAGTAAGGAGTAAGGGGGGCCCTGGCTAGACTGCAGCTCATCCTGATTATCAGTTGTAGGCCAGGTGTGAGAAAGACAGCCCTGAAAAGCCTCTCAGAGAAGCACACCCAGAGACGCAGAACAAAGCAACAGGAAGCACCCGTCTCACCTCGCGTTCCTGCATCAGTCTTTGGCCTTCTGCAGCATATAAACAGTTAGTTTCTTCCAAAAATTTCACTTCAAATGAGTCTTTATATACCTAGGAAATGAGCAGTTATTGACTGGACTCAGTGGCAGCACCTGAAAGGCTCTATGGGCTGGGGCTGTGTTGTAACCCAGTTTTCCCCACTGCTGTGTTGCCCCGGCCCAGAGCTCTTCTCTAGAACAGCCCCTGGGACCCTCACCTATGGGGCTCAGGGTCCAGCCCTGTGCTGCACTGTGGCACTAAGGGGTCGGTTCCTGTTTTTGAGATGGGACCTTCTTGTGTAGCACAGGCAGGTCTGGAACTTGTGGCAATCCTGCTCAGACTCTCCAGTGCTGGGATTACAAGAGGGCACCACTTCAACTGGCTCAGCCCCTGGTTTTTCATGTGAAGTCAGTATTTCCTTTTAGCTTGTCACCCGATTTTATCTTTGTTTATGACAATTTACTTGAAAAATCAATATTTTAATCCATCTTTTCTTCTTTGGTGACCAGTGCAGTGTCAGTATAAGGGTCACACTGTCTTCAGGGTTAAAGCGATCTCCTATCCCTTCCTCACCCTGACGCACGCCTTACGCAGGGTGGGAAGGCGGTGGCCCACCTGGAGGTCCGAGAGCATGCTCAGCAGGCTGCGCAGCAGGCTCCTGTCCACAGCCTCACCACTCCGCTCCCGCTCGATGAGCAGTAGGATCCCATCGATGGTCTTGCTCTGAACCATCTTGTCGCTGATGATGTGGTTTCGAAACAGCTCCAGCCCCATATCCCTGGCCAACAGTGAACACAAAACTGGACTTAGGTTTCCCTCTTCCAGCCCCACCTCCACTGACCAGCCACACCTCACATCCTCGAGTCCTCTTTAAAAGTGTCCATGTTGGCCAGGCCGGGTCCCTTGGGCCTCCTCCCTACACGGCTGTCATGTTCCTGACAGTCAGGCTGATGTCCCAGGAGTCATGCGTCACCACGTGCACTCCTGCGGCCCAGCCCATGGCCACCCACTTTTTGGGCACCACCATAGCTTCGCAGCCCAGCTGTACCCATACAGCTCCTGGGTACTTTGTCCCCACCTTCTCCTTGGAGCCAGATCTGAACTTTGCCTCTGACTGCCAGGGAGGCAACTTGCCAGGGAAGGGGATGCTGCTCCTTGTGGGCACCCAGCTGACAAAGCCTGGCACTTCAGGCTAAGGTCACCTAGATCCCATGTCGGCACCACCACCAGGTGCACACCCTCTGCCCACCAGCTGCAACGACACGGACGCACTGGCCAGGCTGGGCAGTGAGCAGGAGCACTCACCAGATGGAAGGGAGCATGGAGTTCTGCAGGACGTACGTGCGGTCCAGGAACAGGAAGATGCTCCTGACCATGATCTGCCACCCGGAAAGAAGGTCACTCGGTCATTTTGACATACCACTTGGTATCAGACTTCAGACCATGCAGTGCCATCTCCAATATGACACGACCGCTTCTTGATGGAGAGAAAAGTGCCTACCAAGACCCTCATTTTTCTACACTTAACTCTGTCTCCTCAGTATTTGTCATCTTTTTAACCTAACAGCCCCGACTGCAGGATTTTAGATCACTTAGCTTAAAGAGCTCTTAAACTCTATTTCCTGACTGTAGCACACAGCACTCAGATTGTGAACTCCCCCAGGTTTGTAGCAACCCTAGGGCCTTAGGAACTCCTTTGCCACCCTGTAGCCCCTTCCTCTTTTCTTTCTCTCCTCCTGATGGATGCGGGGGTCTGAACGTCCTGTGCAGTAGGCAAGTGGTCCACCACTGAGCTATGCCCCTGCCTCACTAAGCTTCTTAAAGTTAGCTTTGTTCTTGTGGGCTGCACTGGTGCGGGAGAGGAAGCGTCTCCAGTCACCCTACCGTCGCCCGCCTGGCTGGACCAGAGGCTTAGTCCGACCAAAGCGGACACAAAGAAGCGAGAGACACACAGGTCTGGGCTGAATTCACATGGAGTCAGAGCTCACCATCTGTCTGCAGTGGTCTTGCCAACATGTGTTGATCTTCTTCAAGAATAAGACGCTGTCGAGAGAGTCTGTGCAGATCTGCTAAGGAAAACCTCAAAACACAGGCCATGCAGTCACTGCAACTTCCACCCTAGCCCTGTGCCCTCTCTGCCCCACACCAGACAGCATCATCCCAGACAAGGCAGCAGTGGCAAGAAGCTCTTGAGGGGCAGGAGGGCTGCCCACCCATCCATCACACAAAGAGCCATGAGAAGGTGATGCTGTCCACAGGCCCAGACATAGAACTTGCCCAATACCAGCATCTTAACCTCAGCTTCAGCCTTGGAGGTTCATGACCCACCTAGCAACTACTGCATAGCACTTTGCTACAGAGGCCCAAATGGACTGAGGCCAGCAGCTTCCAAGCCTCTACATGGCTTTTACCATCTGCACATCCCAGCACTGTGCATGCACCCCATCCCACATAGGGCTGCACTGACCCGCCTGACTGCCCTGTCCTGCGTCACTTGCTGCAATGCCAGCTGGAACCAACACCGGGGCACAGCAGTTGGGGGTATGGCCGATCACCGGCCCCCAGGAGCCAGTGCCCAGTGTGTACAGCAGGGGCCTGGGCCACGAGAGGTGTCCTAAGACAAGCTCAAGCAGTTTTAGGGCCGAGAGCAAAGTACCTTTCCAGTCACTCCCTTCTGCTCTGGCTACCTCACCAGGGGGAGGAAAACACACCATCTTGCGGATGGCACTGGTGTGCTGGGTTTCAGGCCTGCTGTGTCCTTGACAGTGAGCTCCACAGCAGGCCTCAATCACAGGGCCAGGATCAGCCTCATTCAGACAAGTGCCTCCTCTCCAGCAGAGGGTGGCCCCCAGGAGGAGGAAGTTCAGGGACAGCAGGACCATGGGCACAGCTGTTCTTGCCAGGCCAGAGTGGCCCCTAGCAAGTACGTCTGGGAATTGGATCCAGCGTGCAGAGCATTTCTCTAAGTTAATTACTTCAGGAACTGGGAGCAGTTTGAGAAAGCAAGACAGAAGTCAGGCTCCCACGGAGCACAGCTGTGACAGCCACTCTGACAGCTCCCACAGCCCTGAAGCCAAGTGCCAAGGAGAGGAGGTTCCTACAGTACCTACACAGCCTGTGCTGGACCCATGAAGAGTCCTGGGCCTCAAGCAGGAGACTGAGCAGGCACCCTCAGTGTCTACACTGCCTGCACAGAGTCCCACGGCTCAATGAAATCCAGCTGGCACCCACATCATCTACACAGCATGTGCTGGGCACCATGAAGGGTCCCAAGCTACATGGAGGAGATCCAACCAGTGCCCACAGCATCTACACAGCCTGAGCACTTTGAGAGGCCTGTAACCCTCACGGAGTCAACTCAACACAAATCCAAAGCCACCAGGTGACTCAGGTGTAGCAAATGCTCATGGCAGCACCGAGTGGTGTCCGGCGTCCCAGAGGTGCCACAGTGCAGGCTGAGTAGTGCATCAGTGGGAAGGGTCTCCACGGAGAGAGGGCTCTGTAACCTTGCTATAGGCCCCCAAGTTTCCTGCTGCTGTCCTGAAGGTAGCAGGCAACAGGAAATGAGCACCATGGTGTGGCACATGCCAATCCACTGTGGGCCAGGCACTAAGTGGGTAAGGTGCATGGGCCAACAGTGAGCGTGTGCCCGTAGCCCGCAGCCTGCTCCTCAATCGCCTCCCTTGGTCTCAGCATCCCGCCATTCTCTGCACCCGGGCCAGCTGTATCCTTAGCTCCTTGGGCATCCTGTACCTGGCACCCGCACTACTGCCCCACAGGCTCCCTCCTCCTGCAGCTGTTGGCCTGCTCAGACCCCTGACATTCGTCCTTTGTTTTCTCTTTCCAGCCATCAGCCCCGAGAATTCTCTTGGAGCTATCCTGAAGCTAGCCTCTCTGTAGTGCCAGAACGGCTTCATTCAACTCCCAGCCACCCCGGACCATCCACTGCAGGGCACTGCCCTCCCCTGGGGTGTTGGTCCTGACCCCCCCGTCTCACGGGCTCTCCTACCTCCTCGTCACACCTCTGCACAGACTGCCATCTCGACTGCCCACTGTTCCACTCTCTCCTCCCCTCAGCTCCACTCGTGTCTGGGAGCCTACCTGGGCTACTCCACAATGCCTCGCATGTGCATCCATCATCCTGCCCGAGGCTGGGCTCCCTCGGCGTGACACCTGACGAGCCTCAGGGACCTCAGTGTGTGCCCACGGTGAACAGGGTGTGTCTCGTCACCGGCATAGCCATCTTCACAGACCAGCTTTCGGTGCTCACAGTGAAGCCCGTCTCCGGTGGCACACATGGTCAAATCCAGCCTGCACCGAGTGCGAGGCTGAGCCCACAGGACCTTGCACACCTTCTGCACTCTGCCAGCCCTGCCTGGGGCTCCCACTGTCCAGCTCTCCAACAGCATCACCCAGGTCCTTCCTTAATGCTTATGCTGAACTCAAGGGCTGTGTGGCCCAAAAAAGCAAGCAACTGGGATACAGAGGCTTATGCCAGGTCACACCTGCTTCATCTTGGCTAATTCCTCTCTTGTGTGCTCACTGTTCCAAAGATCCTTCTTGTTCCCAACCAGGATAATGGGTACATTGGGATAGAAATGTTTCACTCCTGGGGTCCATTTTTCCGGCTACATGGACACTTCATGTGCTCATGTTCTATCTCCTTCAATGGAGCCAGTGGAGCTTTGTCACAGATAGAGAAAATGCTGTCTGATCCGTCTGCAAATGGGGCTGCAACTCCCTGGCAATCAGGCTTGGCAGCTGCTTTTCCATTTCCAGAACTAGTGCAGTGGCGGAGGCAGGGTTTGCTGAGTGAAGGACAGAGGACAGCCTGCAGGTGGGGTTACCCAGCAGGGGTTAATGTGAGGACATGATCAAAAGATTTTCAAGCAAACTGGGATTAAGGCAAAGTAACAGCAGCTGACTGAAGACAGCCCACACTCTAGAAGCTGCAGGCTTCCCCTAGGGTGGGCCTGACTGGGTGCATGCTCTGTGCACCTCCCAGGTGTTTTCTGAGCCATGGTGTGCACTGGCAGATTCCCAAGAGCACGATGGCACCAATACCACACCCAACCTCAATGTCCTGGCCCGTCACAGCCCCTTGAGATCTGGTTACACTGGCCTCCTGGAGGCCTGAACAGTCACATTATGCAGTGAAGAACGAGGTGAGGACAAGCTCCCTGACCCAGAGAACCTGAGAAGGGGCAGGTCTCACTACTGTGCTCTGCTGTGAAGACACAGAGGCCCAGAAGAGCACAGTCACCAATGCGGGCCCAAATGGACTTGGATGGCTGGCAAGAGAGGAGAGCAGGGCCAGGCTGAGGACAGATTAAAGGGTTTTGGGCAGGATGTAAGCAGCTCAGGGATTTCCTCATGGGCATAAGTCACAGATGGCGCAGAAGCAAATCCAAGGTTGCCCTCTCCCTTGCCCAGCTATGTGCCTTGAGTAACAATAGTACTGTGGTTCATGTCTTCATGTCCCCCAAAAGCCTCATGCGCTCACAGGTGGGGCTTTGCGTGTGACGGTGGGAGGCGAAGCCCCGTGTGAAGAGGAGGGCTGCTGTAGTGTGGCCTGGAGGGTATCATATATCACCGCTCTCCCTTAGTTGTGCAGCTTCCTGCCTGCCAGGCTGCTCTGCCAAGCAGTTCTGCATTGGAGCCAGCCGACTATGGAATGAAACCTTTACACACTGTGCACCAAAATAAACCTCTCCTCCTTTAACTCGGGAGTGTCAGGTACTTTGTCCCAGCAACAAGAAAGTAAGGCAGACAGTGACCTGTGTGCGAGGCCAGCAGCTGACCTGAGAGGCAGGCTCTCTCTTCACTGGCCCAGCAGCAGCATGAACCTAACTTGAGCAGAGCCCAGGGACTGCATGTGCCACCCACCTGTACAAGCCAGGGAAGGGAGCCTGTGTGGCTGCCCAGCATCCTGCAGACACCTGAGCACACCTGAGCTGCTCCACAGCTTAGAAAACTAATACAGGTGATTTTACTAAAGTAAAGGACAGAATTCAAACTTAAAAGGCATTTTAGAACTTTTCCTAAGTATTTCAACCGGATGCAAAAAAATGCATTATCTTTCGTTCTTATCAACAACCTAAGTTAAATTCTAAAAACTTCACTAAAAACGATTAAAGCAAATGAGAGAAGCTGAACGAATTTAAAGGCTGTAGTTTTAATGTGAAGGATACTCATCCGTTCTTTGTCCTATTAATGTCCAGTTTTAAAAGACTTAGGGAATGAGGAGAAACCTCACGAGCCAAGAAAGGATATTCTCTGAGCGGGGGCGTCTGGGTCTGGATGTAGTCCTCGCAGGCCTGGCGCAGCTGCTTGTAGAGCATCGGTGAGGCTCTGTGAGAACACAGGTTTTCCACAGCCTGGGGCAGAAGGAAGGGGTTACTCTTAAGCTTGACAGCTGCCTCCTCCTCCTCCCCAGCACTCAGGGCGCTCACTTTGAGGCAGGGGCTTGCTCACAGCCCAGGAGCTAATGCAGAGTGGGCAGAGAATGAGGGCACAGCCTGCTGCATGGGGCCCTCGAGACCTCACAAGCCTCAACTTTGCTAGAGGAAGCAGTCTCCAAACAGCCTCAGGGGCCTGGGCCAGGCCTGCTCCCCAGCCACGTTGGGAGGCCTGACTGCTGGGTCTGACGCAGGGTGTGCGTGGTTCACCCTGACACTGCCAGGGCAGGGAAGAGGGAACCACAGTGCGAGACAGGCTGTTTGTCTGAAGCTAGGTGCACTGTAGAATTCACTTACACTCTTACCAGTTCTAAGAATATTTACTCTCAAGTCTTGTGCACAAAGCCAGAAGAATCTTCTTCAATTCAAATGTGAATATTATAAACAAAAATGCCGCTTTTCTAGTGACTAGTTTTGAGCCATTTAAAAAGCATGTGGGCCCAGGTTGCACAGGAAATATACCAAGAATCAACAGGTAAAAAACCCTACAAAATGGTAAAATAATCTTGCCAGCCATTCCTCAGAGGACTGATATCTAGATCATAAAGACTCAAGGGGCTGGGGATTTAGCTCAGTGGTTCCACTGCCCTCCTTACAAAGCTCAAGGACCTGAGTTCGATCCTCGGTACCAAAAACAAAACACCCCCCCCAAATTAGAACTCCCAAAATAAAAGACCCAATCGAGAAAGGGCAAAGGAAATGAATAGACACTGCTCAAATGGCCAATAAATACATGAAGAAATGTTCAACACAGGGCCCGGGAAGTACCTCAGTGGCCCGGGAAGGGGATGAAGAGATGGAGGGAGAAGGGAGGGAAGGAAGGGGATGAAAAAGAAGAACTGAGATGGGTTATGCACATCGACCAACTCCCCACGAGGAATGTGGACATTATGTACTGCACATGCGCACTGATGAACAAAATTGTCTGAGAAAAATGTGGGGACATAGAGAATGGATTCACATTAGAAAAAGCATCCAACTCTGCTGCATGTGTGACACACCTCAGGAAGAAAGGGGAGCCAACATCTTTCGGACATGCACCATAACAGCGTGAAGGGTTACTGCTTCTAACGCTCAACATCAGAACCGCTACACATCCTACTAACCTATCTTAAGTACATACATTGAAGCTACTGTGTAAAACCTGTGCATATTTACAAAGGTCAAAACCCCAGAATGACAATAAACGTTATAATGTTTCCTAGCAAATCCATGATCTCCCCCACACCTTGTCTTAGCCTAGAAGTAAGGGTCCCTGCCCGCTGGCCCAGCCCACCCCCCTCCGCCATATCCTTCTCTCCTCAAATGCCAACCAGCGCACCGCAAAGGCTCTGCCTCAGTGGTTACTGGTGAATTCCACCAACATGACTGTTACACAGGAAGTTTTCACAGGATATGTGAAGACAAAACTTCACATATGTGAAGGCAAAAATCAAGACAAACTTCCTGGTGCACAAGCTTCATAAAACAGTGACTCACTGGACTGTTTTCCGGGAGTCTAAGCCTGCTGCTAGGCACATGCTCACAACTTAGAGGTGCAGAGATCCACTTCATCCTTGGTACTGAGAGTTTGGGGGCATCCCGAGAGTAGGCACTGGATTCCTGTTACAAGCACCATGCTGCCAGAGGGCAGCCAGCCCTTGTCCCACCCCAGTCCTTGCTGACAGTGATCTGGGGACTGTGCGCTGTGCAGGAACAGCATGACACAGACCTCTGCCCACATAAGCTACTGACGGCCCCTCTTGACATACAAAAGACCTACTCAGCCAGGTACTGTGTGCTCAAGTTAGTGTGCACTTTTAACAATCACAGCAAGTTGGACGCAGTGGCCTATACCTGGAACTCCTGCTACTAGGACGCTGAGGCAGGAGGATCACAATCACAAGTTCAAAGCCAGCTGGGCAACTTAGTGAGACTATCTCAAACAAAGGGCGAGGGCACAGGTAGCTCTGTGGGAGAGCCCCTGTGTTCACTCCCTGGCGCTGAAAAACTGTGCCACAGAGGCAGGATGGAATCCAATAACTGGCAGTGAGAAAGCAGCAGAATTTGGAGTCTACTCACTCATACATCCCTACCCAGCCTCTCCGCCTAGCAAGTCACACCAGAGCACAACATCAGGGTGGACCCAGGCGGGGAGGTCTGTCCTCCAGCGTGGGCATCAGAGGAGCACGGGGAGGTAGCAGTGGGGTGCAGCTGAAGATGAGGTCAGCAGAGATCGCAGACTGAAGCCAAGGGAACGCAGGCCAGCACTGCAGCAGTCACGATACGCACGGCAGGGACAAACCCCCAAGCCTTGTCCCACAAACGCCCTGTGCCACACGGGCTGGGGAACCAGCACAGAAAGAGACAAACCCGTGGGATGGGACAGTGACCCCACTGTCCACAGCACAACCTGCACAGGAGGCAGCGCAGGGCTTCTGGGAATGGCACTCCCACAGGACTTGCCCTGGCCCACAGGGAGAGGGAGATAATAGCCCTGGATCCCACAGGCAGCTCTCTGGATGAAACAAGCAAATGGTAACACAGAAACCAAATTAGGGTGAGAGGAAGCTCAGGGGAGTCTCCCAGCAAAACGGCACTACCATTGTATTTACCACTGTGGCATGTCTGCCCCAGTGGGGAAGAGCCCCACCCACAAGACAGGTTTATAGAGAGGAGCTCACTGGGTCCAAGGTACGTGAGATGGCATGTCGCCTGCTGGGGTCCACTTAGGTGCTCAACTCACTCTTCATAGTACATTGGCCCATCAAGTACCGCGTCCCTCTGTCCAACGCTTTCTGGACTTTTCCACTTCAGTTTTAGCAACTGTCAACACATTCAACATCTACCTCTACTCCTGACCTCCTTCCCTGAGAGCCGCTGAGAGCCACTACTTTGCTCTGGACAGCCGACTGGGCTCTCCTGACACAGCTCAGTCCTTGCTGAGGGGGTCTGCTTTCCTCTGAAACTCACTCAGCCTTCCTCTGACAGCTCCTACAAACATGGCCTGCTGTCCCACTGAGCTGACAGGTGGCCCAGCACTTGTGGACCTGAGACACACATGCACTTTCCTCAGGGGGAAGTCACAGCAGACTACACTTGGGTCCCTGGAAGCCAAAGTCCCCACCTTCAGTGTCCTCTGCTCCCCATGGAGGAGAGCACAGATGGTGGCACATGAGAGACTTTCTCACCTGTACTGTGACCCAAAAGCTAAGCAACACAGAGACAGGAGAACCTCTAACCTGAACCCAGGGCCTTACCTGACAGGTTCTACAGAGTTTACGCCAACAGTGGGCAGGGGATGAAACTTCTCAGTCTCCTCAAAACACACCAACCCTGCAAACTTGATGAGAATGAGATCTTCCACACAAGACCATACCCCCTGACCAGCTGGGACTCCGTCCTGCAACACCAGGCAGGACACACTATCACCTTGGGCCAGCAACTGCATGCTCACCTTCTGGCTCACCAGTGCCCCTACAGAGGCAAGGGGATGGCCACCAGCATGCAGATCACAGGGCCCCACATGAGCCTGGGGGACCAGAGATCCTGGAACACAAAAGTCTATCCGGTACAGACCATGTAGAACAAGTACCTTACATCTCCCAATTTCAGTACAGAGCCCAAGGAGGACTGAAGACATCACGAAACCCACAGGGACCAGTTTTTTTCTTTTTTTGAGACAGGGTCTCACCGTGTAGTTCAGGTGGCCTTGAACTCACTACATAGCCCAGACTGGCCTCAAATTCGAGGAGATCCTCCTGCCTCAGCCTCCCAAGTGCTGGGATTACAGGCATGTACCACCATGCCTGGCTAGGGGCCAGGTTTTGAGATGCACAAGTGGCATGGCTAAGCATTTCCACTATTTCAGGAGAAAATAATGACAACTGATAGCAGATGGCCCAGTTTCCACAGGAAAAAGAATAGCAAGCCTCAGCTATAACATATAATGTTTTACTAGACAAAAGCCTATGATTGCCCAGGTACTTGGTGGGATTTTTGCTTCTGGTTGGGATGCAGTAGTGTCTGGATTCACACTTATGTCAGAAAAAACTAAAAACCAGATAGAAGAGCAGGCTTCGGGGCTCTGAAGGACAGTGATCTCTGGGGCAGGAAATAGCTGGTGCTTTGCTCACCAGGTGGGCTGTTCACAAGCTGCACCAGGGCCCAAGGATGTGTGTGAGGTGAGGGCCTGCTCCAGGGATATGAGCATTCACTCTGCACGGTGTGGAGCCAGGGCAAGAACATCCAGGCGGTCAGAGGTGACAGTGTCTAGCACCCACGTGGGTGGACAGCCAGGGCCTCAGCAGTGGGGATAGCCAGTCCCAGACATGACAACACTCTGGCCAGCCTAACACACCCTACAGAAAGACTCAAAAGAACCAAACAGGTTCCAAATAACACAAGTATGCTCAGAACAAAGGTGAAGAACACTTATAGGACTCTAAGGACACTAGCACACTACATGAGATCCACACCTGGCATCCAGCAAAGGTCGCCAGACACGAAAACAGCAGGAAAACAAAACAAGTAGAAAAGTCAGTCAATCAGTCAAAACCAACACAGGACTGACTAAAAGGCGGGCTAGAGAGCAGGACAATAAAATAATGTCTATTGGTGGGCATGGTGGCACATGTCTGCAATCCCAGCACTCAGAGGGCTGAGGCAGAAGGATGGCTGTGAGTTCTAAGCTAGTCTGGGCTACATATGAATTCAAGGCCAGCCTTAACTATACGGGGAGAACCTGACTCCAAAAAAAGGACTCCATGTGTCCAAAGGTTAAAAAGAAGCACAGAAGATGTGAAAAGACTCAAAAGTTCACACCTAGCAAGAAGAGCAAGGTGTGACACAAACCTGTACCAGGTGGCGGTGCCAGCAGCTGAGATCAGAGGATCAGGGGACCAGGACACCTAAGATGCATTACAAACCTCCACAAAGAAAGCCTGGGTGGCTCTGCCACAGCGTCTTCTTAAGCATTTCAAGAAATGACACCAACACCATACAAACTCCAGAGCAGGGAAGAAGAGAAAATACTTTCAAAACTCATACAGCCAGCACTACTTTGATACCAGAAGTGGACAGATATAGTAACAAGAAAACATCAAGGTAACAAAACGTGAGCAAATGGAATCCAACAGCATACAAAAAAAGAACACATCCTGACCAGCTATGATTTAGCCCAAGAATGCAAGATTGGCTTCTGAAAAAGGAAATCAGTGGATATAAGGAACAATCTAAGAAACAGAAATCATAAATGCCTTCAAGAGATGAGGAAAAAGAACTCTCAAACTGGGAACAAAAGGGAAAGCCCTCCACCTGAGCACCACACTCAACATGAAAGGATGGAAGGCTCCCTAAGCTCAGGAAGAAGCCCAGGAGGCTGCCTGGGGTCCCCACTTACTCTGCCCTGGAGGTTCTAACTGGCATGATGAGGCAAGGAAAGGAAACGACAGGCGTGCAGCTTAGAAAGGAAAAAGGAAACTGACCTCTTATTCACGGATGGCATGCCCGTCTCTACAGAATATATGGCAGAATATACGGGAAATTTACACGTAACCAAGGTCAGCAACACAGCAGGACACATGGTCAATATATAAAAATAAAGGTAATTTCTCTATAATACTGAGAATCAGAAACTGAAATTTAAAATACAATTTATACAACATCAAAAATAGAAAATGAGCTGGTGTAGCACAGGCCTGTAATCCCTGCCAGCACCTGGGAGGCTGAGGCAGGATGATTGTAGGTTCAAGCCCCGCTTGGGCATTTGGCAACTTGAAAGATGCTGGGATGTGCCTCAGTGTGAAGGTTCTGGGTTCAATCCTCAGTACACACACACACACAAATAAGGGACAAATTTCACAAAAGATGTATGAGATCTGTATTCTAACTAGAAAACGCTGCTGAGAGAAATAAAAAAGACCTAACACAGAGCTATCCTTATCACTATTTGGCCAGCTCAAAAGTGTTGCTATGTCACTTCTCTCTGCCCTGATCCATAGATTTCACACATCGATAAAATTCTAGCAAGCTTTTTGGTAGAAACTGACAGATACTAAAATTCACATGGAAATACAGAAGGACCAAGAAAAGTCAAAAGGACTTTGAAAACGAAGTCAGAGGCCAGCGTACACCCTTGTTACATCTACTCCTAGGTGAGCCACTGACATCTGACAAAGAGGCAAAGGCCGTTCAGTGAGGAAAAGGCAGACTTTCAATAAACGATGTTACAACTGCATATTCACAGACAGAAAAATCATATTTTGGTATATATATTACAACATACATGTTCTCTCAGCATAGGTCAAAACCTAAATGTAAAATCTGAACCTCTAAAATGTCAATAAGGAAATACAAGAAAAAAATCTTTGTGATCTTAGAATTCTTAGATACTAAAAGCACAACCCAGAGGAACAGTTAATGCACTGGACTTCAAAACTTGTAACTATTGTTCTTCAAAGGACACAAGGGAATCAAGGCACAAACCACAGACCAGGAGAAAATATGTGCAAAGGCTGATACAGGCTTGTACCCAGAATACACAATAAACTCACATATTCAATAATAAGGAAACAACCCAATTTAAAAAATGAGCAAAAGATTTGAAAAGATGTTTCACCAAAGATACATGGAATGCCAAATGAACACATGAAAAGATGCTTAGTACCAGCAAAACTTGGTAGCAGTAAAACTGCAATGACAATCCCAACACATCTATGAAAACAGCTACAACTACAGACTGCTAGCACCAAATGATGTCAAGGATGTGGGACAACTTGAACTCGATACACTGCTGGTGAAGACACCAAGAGGCCTGGCCACTTTGGAAAGTGAAGACTTCTCATGAAGTTCAAAATACCCTTGCCATGTGACCCTGAGGACATCTAGACATCTTCCCGAAAGGAATGGGAATGGATGTCCATATAATCACTTACCCAGTAATGTCTGTAGTAGTTTTGCTCCTGACAACCAAAAACTAGACACCAAAATGTCCACAAACATTTGTGGTACAGGCACACTGCTTAGTGATAAAATGAGCAAATTTTTAGCACAGTCTGAGTCTCCAAAGCACTCGTGAAAGCCAGCTAGAAAAGACAGCAAAGGCATGACTCCACTTGGATGATCAGAAATGGCAAAACGTGCCTGGAAACAGACCCAGGTTGTCAGGAGTGGGAGCAGGAAGGGGAATGACTGCAGGGGCTGGGAACGCTTTCAGGTAACGAGAATACACTATCCCAAGGCCCTGGAAACAGCTTTATGTGTCTGTTCGTGACACGCTAATAAAATAAAAATAATAAATACAATAAATTAACAAGATGCAATAATAAAAAATATAATCAACTCACACAAAGAATGGATATACGTGTACCAAACTTCCGTACAGGGACTGTTTTGGATTTTAGGTTTTATCAGATTTTCTGACATAACACGACACTTGGGATAGGATCCATGTCTAAATGTGAAACTTACTTATGTTTCCTCTTCATTCACATACCTTGAAGGTAATTTTATAAGTTTTTAACCACCGCTGTGTTTTGTTTTGTTTCTTTGTTTTTTTTGGCGGGGGGCGGTTGAGACAGGGTCTCACTATGTAGTTGAGACTGACCTGGAACTCACTATGTAGCCCAGGCTGGTCTCAAACTCGCAGCGATCCTCCCGCCTCAGCCTCCCAAGTGCTGGGATTACAGATGTGCCTTCCACCCCTGTGTTTTGACTGCAACCTTTCATGGGGACAGGCCTGGAACTCTCCAAATTACACCACCATGTTGGCATGCAAAACGTTTTGGACTTTGGAGAATTTCAGTTTTGAATTAGGGATGCTCAAGCTGTAGTGCTTTTCTTTGGGTGGTGGAAATACTGGCGATTATCCAAAAAAATTTCCTTTTTTGTACTTTATACAATTTTTAAAATGTCCTCATTTGTGCAAACCGGAGAAAATTTTAAATTTAAGCCTTTTAATAGAAATAATAGTGCTTTCGTTACCTAAAATGTAAAATGTGAAAACTTACTGGAGCATTACTGTATAAAATGACCCGAAAAGTTTGCTTTGAGTGAAATATCCAAAAAGCAAAGAGTTACTTCTGGCCATTTTCCCCTTTACTTTAGAAACAGAATGTCACTACTTTCAGTGTACCTGTAACAAAATCTGGAACCTAGTGTGCAACAGTTTGACCACAAAACACAATAGAGAGGCTGAAAAGCGCTCCGGGAGCAAGTGAAGCAGTAGTGTGTACAGTATTGGAGTTCTCGGTGGAGTTCCAGCAGCGACTTGCGCGGGTGGAGGGCCTTCGGGGCCCCGGCTCGGCTCCAACCTCCTCCTCTCGCATGACCGCGGGATGACACGACCTCCTCCTCCTCCTCCTGGGGACACCCGCGGGCTCACCTGGTACAGTTCCTCCAGGTTGTACCTGATGGACGTGCTGCTCTGGATGGCCCGCACCGCCTCGTGCAGCTTCTGCCACGTGTCCTGCGTGTAGTTGTCCGGCAGTCGCGGCCTGTCTGTGGGGACGGAGGGTCAGCGGCCGTGGGGACTGGGCGGCCCGGCACCGGGAGCCAGCG